TGCCATCCATTTTCGCCCACGGCGGCCTCGCAGCAGGCGCTTGCGCAGCCCGCTGTGGGCGAGACCACCGAGCCGGAGCAGGAGCTCGCGAAGGCCGAGGCAGCGAAGCGTGCGGCGCAGGCAGCGGTGGAGGCCGAGCGGCAGACGGAGGCCGAGCGGCTGAAGGCGCAGGCGGAGAAGTCCACAGCCGCTTGGGGTGCATGGAAGAGGTTCGCCTTGGGAAGAGGGCGGGAGACGCGCTTTGGAAGTACCTGGAGCCTCCAAAGTACACAGTAGAAATGAGTCTATACATTAATATTAGGGTAGTACTACCATGAACTCGAAGAGCAATACCAATGAATCCATGAAAATCCAGGTCCCTAAGTTGGTCTTTTACATGTTTTTGCTTATTTTCGGTCATGCCATCCTGGTGGAACATCATGGAACAGCTCCATTCCTAGGCTTCCTTCCATTCCTAGGCGAGTGTCGCCCAGGTCCAAAGACCTTCTGAGTATGCATGTGGTACGTTGGGAGGTTAGGGTCTAAGTACCTTCTGCGCGCGGTTACTTTGGAGCTTTGGGGTTTGGCAACGTGCTGGCCATGTGTCTCATTTCAATGGCGCCTTTCGATCTGTTGCAAGCAAAAAGCATGGTTCACCGAGAGAAACCGACTTTACGAGGCCCCAGTAGACCACCAGCTTTGGAATGTTAAATAGATCCCAGACACTCCATGGGACTGCCATTATATGCCACCCCATTGACCCTTGCACCACCCCGAACGCCCGTTTCTCGGCAGTTCGTTTCTCGGCAGTCCCAGGTCCGGGTCGTGTTTGGCCACTGATTCTCTACACCGGACACCGAGACTTCACATCGAGACCCTCTGAGGGTGCAGCGGTTCGGGTGTTCGGGGTGCGGGTGCGAAGCCATGACCCTTTTCACCCCATCTCCACGTGGTCATCAAACCCGCGTTTTCTGCGCCCAGGTCATCAAACCAGAGGCGGTGGCAGAGGCAGCGGCCAAGGCACAGGCGGATGAGCCACTTGGAGCGGAGTGAAGAATGAGAAAGAACAAGGAGGTGCTGACATGTCGCGAGCATGAGTGATTTCTGGCGCCTAATGGTTGGACATCGAACCCCTGCATGGGCCAACTTCAGAATTCTGTGGATCCATGGTTTCAGAGAGGGGTGATTCATATCATGCGACAGGCTGAATTTTCAGGTGTCCAAAATGCCCACACACTCCATGGGACTGGAATGTATGCCGGAATGGGCTAGGCAAAGATGGCATACATGGAGTGTCAATCTTCCATGCTCTAGGGATCCATAGGTTTTTGGAGGGGGCCCAAACCCCTGCTAGAGTCGAATTCATGTTGGACCCCTGCTAGAGTCGAATTCCAACAGATTCGACTCTATCAGGGGTACTTCTCGTATGTCTACGTGGATTTTTGGGCAGCATGCACTCACCGCTCACACAGTCCAAGGCAGGCACAGGCAGAGGCAGCCAAGGCCTTTGCTGCGGAGATGAAGATGTCGCGGCCGCTCTGGCACATAACCGGGAGCGGGAACACAAACCCATACTGTAAGGAAGGTGCTGATATGTGCTGGTAAATGGAGTCCCTCAAAACTCTTGGCTCAAATCCCAGAGGCTGCCTTCGGCCATAAGACATTTTGTGGAAATTAATGTTACAAGACATGTCCATATATTATGCTGCCCACTGCTCAAACAAAGAACACAGCGGATTCTAGTTGTTGGATGTTGTTATTATTTCAACCCCAATCTATGATGTGACCGAGCACAGCGTTTGGCGTGACATCACGGATAACTCTCCTGAGACTTTGCGGGGCTTCCGCATCCAACGCGTTGCTGTTCTTGTCAGACACCAGGGTCAATGGCCGTGCATTTGCTTTTGGGATCTTCTGGGCAAACAGCTTCCCAGTGGTTGCCCAGTCAATGTTGAGCAAGCTTCCTTTTCCAACAAGACACCAAGGTCAGGGCAGTTCATCATAGCGGCACTCCGAAAATATCATCCATGGAAACCGTGGAGTGAACCACCACCCTTAGTATTCAGAAAATGCTCATCCGAACTGCGGGGCCAGGCCAGGCCCATGATGATTCCGGGGATGTGTATCTTCAGTATCTTCAATGAACTGGCCCCCCGGGCCGTCCAGACGTCCTCCTCAGACGTCCTTGGGCACTCAGGAACATCGCGCGGGCGTTGGTACCTGAACAGGGCCCAGAGGCAGACCCGTCGCCGCAAGAATGCTTCCAGTGGCCAACACCTGACAGTCTGAAGTTCTTCCCATGGAAACCGCTATAGAGTCGGTACTATGGAAGATGCGCCTTCTTCGCTCAGAGTCGGTCCTTGAGCAACGTCGACGTGAGTTTCTGGGTGAATCATGACAGCTGCGAGTCGCTTCCATTCTCACATCTTCGTTCGGCTCTCACAGGCGGCCGCCATCGTAAACCTCAACTCTGAGGACGGCCTGGTTGGCCTTCAGACGGGTGTTTCCCACTGGACCCCAGTGGCTCCAAGTAGGGAACCGGGCTGGATCAGGCCTGGTTGCCGAATCAAACGTTTGTGGAGTTCCTATAGATCCACTGCGGAATGGTGCATATTGCGGTGCTTCAGCACGGGGTGTGAGAGGAGCAGGAAGTCAATTTTGGTGGGATTTTGCTGGTTGGTCTACTGGCGTATGGAACTGATCTAATCATGCAATCGAGCACGTTAGATACAGTGTGGAAGACTAACATGGACCCCGCAAACTTCAGGGTGCCATTCTCTTCAGGGTCCAGTTTTGTGGGGAGCGACCACGGCGACCACCCCCTCCGAAGCCACGTGCCTGCAACCTCCTCCCAGGAGACGCGCGACGTGCGCGAGAAGGCCATGCCCAAAGCGCCGGAGGAGCAGCCGGCCGACGGCCCGCCGCGGCCAGGGCAGAAGCGGAAGCAGGTGAGTGAGGGCGACGTGGAGAAGCGGGAGACCTGGCAGGTTCGGTGGCGAAGAGCCCCTCAGAGTTCCATGGAATGGTTAGGATATTCGCCTACATTCTGGCCGTACATGAGGTATATAACAACATAGATGCCAATCAATTGGGGTGATGTTCAAGATGTTATCAGGGTTTGGTAGGTATGCACCACTCCACTGATGCGGAAAATCATTGATTCCAGGGGCCATGCCATCATATGCCATATACGGAAGCGGGATGAAGTGGGGATCACACAATTGAAGTTTTATGGATTTGGTGACATCCCAAACACTCAGGGCCCAGTGGATGATGGGGCTGGTTGCAAGCCAACATCCATACAGGTTCGCTGGTTGTGACACTGACACTCACCGATGCATGTTCGGACTGGGCTCGGCGAGTGACGAACCGAGTGGAGAGCCTTGGCGCCGTGGGCACCGAAAGGTTTCAGTGCCCCTCGGGACGAGCGCCTGACCGAACCCATATGCTACTGGATGCAAGGGCCCGTTGACATACAGTGGTTTCAGGGCCCAGAGGTGGTTGATATCGGCTCCCCATGAGTCTAAGACCTCTTGGGGTGCCTACTTTGAAACCACTGTAGTTGGTTCGGTTCCCCATGAAAAGCGCAATCACGTCCGACTGGATCCTTTCTTCATGTCAATCGGGCCGCTGGGCATGGCGAAGACCCGTTTCCGCGGAACCTCGGCTGACCGGGCTCCGTGTCCAAGGAAAAGATCAGCCGCCTGACCGATCTCTGCAACTCTCTTCTGGAGAGAGGAGTTCCTTCGCACAAACAGCCGAACCCAGAGGAGTTCCAATGGGACTGGAATGGTCAATATGTCGCATAAACCTCTATGTATGACCCTATGATGCATGTAACTAGTCCAGTCCCTTGG